AAAGAAGATTGCTTTAAATGTCAATCCCAGCTCCCTCACCCTTCCCTTCTCCCCACTGATACCCTACATATCCCATACCATTTCTGCTCCCTAGAGACAGTGAGGCCTTCCGGGGGGTGGGAGTCTGTCATACCCTTTGGGATAGGGCCTAGGCCATCCCCTATGTGCCTAGGCTGAGAGTGTATCACTCTATGTGAAATGGGCTCCCAAAATCCATTCCTATGCTAGGGATAAGTACTTATCTACTACAACAGGCCCCATAGATGTCCAAGGACTCCTCACTGAAACCCACATTTTATGGGTTCTGGATCAGTTCCATGTTGGTTTCTCAGTTATCATTCAGGGGACCAAGAGTTCCATGCTGTCCAGGTCAGCTGTTTCTGTGGGTTTCACCAGCCTGGTCTTCACCACTTTGCTCATCACTCATCCTTCTCTGCAACTGGATTCCAGTTCAGTTCAGTGTTTAGCTGAGGGTATCTGCTTCTATTTCCATCAGCTGCTGACTGAAGGTTCTAGGATGGCATATAAGTTAGTAATAAATTTCACTATCAGGGGAGGGCATTTAAGGTAGCCTTTCCATTGTTGCTTAGATGGTTAGTTGGTTTCATCCTTGTGGATCTCTGGACATTTCCCTAGTGCCTGATTTCAATTAAAACCTATACTGGCTCACTATCTGATGGTATCTTTTATTTTGCTCTCCTCTATTCTTCCCCATATACAACCTTCCTGTTCCCTTATGTCCTCGTCACCCATCCTCTTCCCCCTTCTCATTCTCCTATCCCACTCTCTCTTCCCCTCATGCTCCCAATTTACTCAGGAGATCATGTCCCTTTCCCCTTCTCTAGGGGATCATTATGTTGCTCTTAGAGTCCTCCTTGTTGCCTACCTTATCTAGTGTAGTGGATTGCAGACTGGTAATCCTTTACTCTATGGGTAAAATCCATACTTGAGACAGTGAATACCATGTTTGTCTTTTTTGTGACTAGGTTACCTTGCTCAGGATGGTTTCTGGTAGTTCCATCCATTTGCCTGCAAATTTCAAGATTCCATTGTTTTTTTACCCGCTGAGTAGTACTCCATTGTGTAAATGTACCACATTTTCTTCATCCATTCTTCAGTTGGAGGGGCATCTAGGTTGCTTCCAGGTTCTGGCTATTACAAATAATGCTGCTATGAACATAGTTGAACAGAGGTCCTTGTATGAATGTGCTTCTTTTGGGTATGTGCCTGAGAGTGGAATTGCTGGCTCTTGAGGTAGACTTTTTCCCATTTTCCTGAGGAATCTCCGTACTGATTTCCAAAATTGCTGTACAAATTGGCACTCCTACCAGCAGTGGAGGAGTGTTCCCCTTTCTCCACATCATCTCCAGCATAAACTGCCCTGGGTGTTTTTTTTTATTTTAGGCATTCTGACTGGAGTAAGATGGCATCTCAGAGTTGTTTTGATTTGTATCTCCTTCATGGCTAAGGATGTTGAACACTTTCTTATGTGTCTTTCAGCCATTTTAGATTCCTCTATTGAGAATTGTCTATTTAGTTCTGTACCCCACTTTTTAATTGGATTATTCGGTGTTTTTGAAAACAGCTACTTGAGTTATAGTAAATTTTGGAGATCAACCCTCTGTTGGAAATGGGGTTTGTGAAGATCTTTTCCCATTTTGTGGGCTGTCATTTTGTTGTGCTGACTCTGTTCTTTGCCTTACAGAAGCTTCTCAGTTTCAGGAGGTCCCATTTATTACTTGTGGATCTCAGTGTCTGAGGTACAGGTGTAATGTTCAAGAAGTTATCTCCTGTATCAAATCATTCAAGGATGCTTCCCACTTTATCTTCTGAAAGTTTCAGTGTGCCTGGATTTATGTTGAAGTCATTCATCCATTTAGACTTAAGTTTTGGGCATTGCGATAGACTTGGATCTATCTGCTATCTTCTACATGCCAGGTTTCAGTTATGTCAGCACCATTTGTTGAAGATGCTTTCTTTATTCCATTGTATATCTTTATAGCTTCTTTGTCAAAAATCAGGTGTTCTTAGGTATGTAGGTTAATATCGGGGTTTTCAATTTAATTCCATTGTTCTACCTGTTTATTTTTGTGCCAATACCAAGCCATTTTCAGGACTATAGAGTTTGAAGTCAGGGATCATGATGCCTCTGGAAGTTCCTTTATTGTATGGAGTTGTTTTAGCTATCCTGGGTCTTTTGTTTCTCCATATGTAGTTGAGTATTTTTCTTTCAAGGTCTGTGAAAAATAATGCCAGTATTTTTATGAGGATTGCGTTGAATCTGTAGATTTCTTTTGGCAAGATTGCCATTTTTACTATGTTGATCCTACCTATCCAAAAACATGAGAGATCTTTCCATTTTCTGGTATCTTATTTAATTTCTTTCTTTAAAGACTCAAATTTCTTGCTGCACAGGTCTTTCACTTGTTTGGTTTTACCCAAACATATTTTATATTGTTTGTGGCTATTGTAAAGGGTGATGTTTCTCTGATTTCTTGCTCAGCACATTTATCATCGATATATAGTAGGGCTACTGATTTTTTTTTCTTAATCTTGTATCCTGCCACTTTGCTGAAGGTGTTTATTGGCTGTAGGATCTCCCTGGTAGAGTTTTTAGGGACACTTATTTATTTAAACTATCATATCATCTGCAAACAGTGAAAGCTTGACTTCTTCCTTTCCAATTTGTATCCCCTTGATCTCCTTTTGTTGTCTTATTGCTCTAGCTAGAACTTCAAGTACAATATTGAAGAGATATGGAGAGAGTGGACAGCCTTGTCTTGTACCTGATTTTGGAGGAATCATGTTGAGTTTCTCTCCATTTAGTTTGACGTTGGTTGTTGGTTTACTGGATATTGCTTTTATTATGTTCAGGTATGTTTTCTCTGATCTCTCCAGGAACCTTATCATGAAGGGGTGTTGGATTTTGTCAAAGGCTTTTTCAGCATCTAGTGAGATGATCGTGTGGTTTTTCTTTTTCAGTTTATTTATATGGTGGATTACAGTGATGGATTTTCGTATGTTGAACTTCATCATGGTGGATGATTTTTCTGATATGTTCTTGGATTCGGTTTGCCAGTATTTTGCATCAATATTCATGAGGGATATTGGTCTGTAGTTGTCTTTCTTAGTTTTGTCTTTGTGTGGTTTAGGTACCAAGGTAATTGTAGCCCCGTAAAAAGAGTTTGGCAAGGAACCTTCTTCTTCTATTGTTTGGAACAATTTGAGGAGTGTTGGTATAAGCTCTTCTTCAAATTTCTGGTAGAATTCTTCACTGAAGCCATAGGGCCCTGGGCTTTTTTTGCTTGGGAGACTTTTGATGACTGCTTCTATTTCCTTAGGGGTTATAGGTCTGTTTAAGTTGCTTATCTATTCTTTATTCAATTTTGGTAAGTTGTACATATGTTTTCATAACTAGCTAGCTAGATGATAGATAAGTGGATGCATGCATGCATACATACATACATAAACATATACATATGTGTGTGAATAATTGATGAAAAAGAACAATGAGGGATGTATGGGAGGGTTTGAAGGATGGAATGGGAAATATAACCATAACCTCAAAAATAAATGTTGTAAATTCTAAAAACAAGTTAAATTCTCTCTTACTTCAAGAAGGAAGAACCAAGACATAATCACAACCAAAAAATAGCAAAACTAAATTCCAACAAGTTTGCATTTCTTTAGCTCCATCATGCACAGCATTGAGCTCTTCTCCAGCCTTTGGACAGCCTCATGCAATGTCTGCTGCTGTCCTTGTTACTAACATCTCCAAAAATACTGGGGTCTTCTGCTGCAACTTAAATGTACTTTCTCCAATAGTCTCTCCTGACATATATTCAGGGACTCTAACCTGCCAAATTGTGCCAAATCCCAGCTTCTTTCCATTTAGCCTACTAACATGGTGTTTTCACTGCTATCAAGTCTCTGCCTTCAGGAAGATCCTCTCCTTGCCTCTCACAATGCAAAATCTCAGCTACTGTCTATGACCCACTCTTATCCTCAAATTCAATAGTTAAAAGCCCTTCACCTATATTGAGATTTATGACCACTTTAAATACCATCATAGAGCCTTCATCCAGTAACTGATGGAGAAGAAGCAGAGATCTACAGCTAAGCACTGATCTGAACTCCTGGAATCCAGTTGTAGAGTGGGAGGAGTAATGAGCAAAGAGGTCAAGACCATGCTGGGGAAACCCACAGAAACAGCTGAACTGAGCAGGTGGTAGTTCACAGACCCCAGTCTGACAGCTGGGGAACCAGCATAGGATTGAACCAGGCCCCCTCAACATGGGTGTCTGTTGGGGGGTTTGGGCAGTCTATGGGGCCGCTGGCTGTGGAAGTAGAATTTATCCCTAGTGCATGAACTAGCTTTTTGGAGCCCATTCCCTATGGAGGGACACTCTTTCAGCCTTGATAGAGCAGGGAGGGTCTTGGTCCTGACACAAATGATGTGACAGACTTTGATGATCCCCCATGCGATGCCTCACCCTCTCTAAGGAGTGGATGGGGATGGGATGGGGAGATGGTGGGGGAAATGTGAGAACATGAGGGAGAGGGAACTGTGATTGATATGTAAAATAAGATTGTTTTTAAATTAAATAAAAAAGTTAATTTAAAAAATCAGTAGTACCTGAGAGATTCTTACACATTGCCAAGTTGCCAGCATGACATACAACCTTGCATACCTCAGGATCACAGTTTCTTTTTTCTGGCAGTGACGAAATATTTCTAGATTTACAATCCTCAGTGATATTGCTTTCTTATTAATCTCCCATAATTTCTCAGCCCCAGCTGATTAGCATCAAATATTCCAGTAAAACAAAGATTTCAGTTTATTGTTTCTGGTCTCTTTTAACCACAGCCAATTTGCTAGCCCCATTTGACTAGAGTTACAGATTCTTTTTTTAAAAGATTTATTTATTTATTTATTTATTTATTTATTTATTTATTTATTTATTGTATATACATTGTTCTGTCGGCATGTATCCCTGCAGGCCAGAAGAGGGTACGAGATCTCATCATGGATGGAATTTAACTCAGAACCTCAGGAAGAGAAACCAGTGCTCTTAACCTCTGAACCATCTCTCCAGCCCAAGCCACCCGATTCTTAACCCTAAAAATATCAACTCCAGTAGAGTCTTTAAAGAACCCTCAAAGTCTGCTCTGAAACTTCAGAAGCCAGGCCTTCATTATCTGCATTGCTCTCAACATTCTTATCCTTTAAATATTCCACAGAACAGTTCAGTAAGCTCTGAACCCTCAATGGTTTTTCCAGCCCAAAGTTGCAAAATGTTACCACAGTCCTCACAAAACATATGTTTATGTCTGTCACAACAATTCCCCGTGAACTGATGCCCACTTCTGTCTTAGGGCTTCTACTACTGTGATAAAACACCATGACCAAAATCAATGTTGGAAGGAATGAGTTGATCTCATCTTACAGCTCTCAGGTCACATTCTATCACTGAGGGAAGTCACCTCAGATACTTAGAGGCACTAAATGGAGCAGAAGCCATGGAGGAGTGATGATTACTTACTTGCTCTCTATGGATTGCTCAACTTGCCTTCTTACAATGCCAAGGACCACTTTCCAGGAGTGGTAAAAGCCACAGTAAACTGTGTCCTCCCACATCAATCATCAACCAAGAAAATGCATCACAGACTTGTCTTCAGGTCAGGTTTGTGGGGACGTTTTTCTCAATTAAGGTTCCTTTTTCCCAAACAACTCTAGCTTGTGGCAAGGTAACATAATTCTAGCCAAAATATGTGTGCTAATCATAAATTATTTTTGAAGTGTGCTATGTGTCATTGGAAAGTGAATAAAAGGCAAGTAGTAGAAGATGATATATAATGAAGGGCCAGATCATACAACATCTTTGAACTCATTCTTCAAATCATAAATACCTAGCGTTGTGTTGTGTAGATGTATGTGTATGTGTACATATATAAACATTACATATATTGATATTTTCCCTCATATATAAGAGAGATCAACAATTTAACTTGAGGTATCTGTAAATAAAGCAAGGCAATCTGGATTTTTAATGATGCTCCTATGGAAGATATTTAAATACATCTTTGCTAGAACAGTTGACTTCCTGATTGTGTCCAAAGGCAACTAAAAGAAGAAGAAAGGGCAACCTCCTCACCTTGACTCACTCTGCAAAGGTATTTTGAGCATTCAGAGTGTCCATCTAAACTGTTAATTGAGATCATGATAGACTCTCCACTAAATTACCTCATATAGCATAAAAATGTTTTTTATGTTGTTTCTTGCCCTAGACTGTTTTATTATACAGAATAGTTCTGGTATATATTTGTGAGACAAGGTAACTGCAACATTTGGATAGACCTAGAAATTTCACCATCTGTCAGGCATCACCCATCCAACACAGAAAAATCAATGACATATTCTTAGGGAAAAGAAGTAAATTACCCTGAAAGTTTATTGAGATAATAGAAACTGTGGGGTACAAGAGTATATTAAAATTCTACCTGGAAACAAGGCTCAAGAACTTTTCAGACACACCACACAGAGAAAATGGTGCAATTCCCTTGTCTGTATCTCACAAGTGGATGGACAATAATGGCATGGTCCCATAGCAACTTGAAATTTTATGTGTGTGTCAAGGATTGCCTTCATATCTATTCGGTCCCCTGGTGTTTATGTGGCCTACCTAACTGCTTTTTTGTCCATTTATTGGCTCATGTGAACACGGCCTGAACCTGCAATTTGCTGCTTTAGACCTAGTTTGGCCTTTCACCTCACAGCTGAAGTCTGCTGCTGTTGTTCTCAAACCCTGACTCCAGCAGCTGCAGCTCCCTGCAGGCATTAGTCACTTTGGTCATCTTACCATTACATACTCTCCTCATCCACTTCTGAAATGTCACCAACTCTGTTGTAGACTTTTTAATTTGTATTCATTTTGTGAATCATATATGCATAGAGATATGTTTGCTGTGGAATATTAGTAACCAAGATTAAAATAAAATAAATTGCCTTCACCTTGACCAGGTTACCAATTTAAGTGGGATTATATGACAAATTTCTCTCAATAAACCTGTTGAACTTCGTAAACTTAGTGTTTCATAATAGATTCTGACATAGTGAAAAGACACAATGTATTCTTCTATGTTTTTGACAAAGTGCATTTGTGACACCATCTCATTTCTCTTCAAGGCTGAAAGTGAAGGAAAATCATTATCCTAAATCTGCAGACACTTTAGATTTCATGAATATCAAATCCTCATAAGACAGGCCAACCCCTTATGAGGCCAATTACCCACAATGAGAAAGCAACACCCTGGACTAGAAATAATCATTTTGTAAGAAATAGATGTATTCCCCCAAGCAATGACATTGATAATAATTCCTTCAGACCACTTTGCAGAATCGGAACTGAGACAATGATCAACCAGAACACACTTTTAACAGCACTGCTTAATTATAAATGCATTCCTCTCATTGTCCAGATTCTTCCTGTTTAAACCTGAAGCTTTTGTCAGTACTCTAAAGGCAAACTCAGGGACATTGAGCCCTTTATTTTTCCTCTTCACAACACATTGATTAAATCTCTTTTCTCTGCTGTCCACCACTGCTTATCTCTTTAGAATAGGTGGCTGGTCCCAACCTGTTGAGATTGCTAGAGATGGAGCTTTTACCCCTAAACTCTGATTACACTTCCAGTACTAGCATTTTCTATTTCTGTGAAAATTGAAAAAGGTCTTCGAGTGGGAAATGGGGTTAGTGCAGAATTTAATGTGCAGTAGAACTCTTTTAAGCTCAGGGAGAAAACATGCAACAAAACAAGGTGAATGAATACACACAAAAAACGTACAGAGAGTGGGAACTGTCTCATGCAATAGCGTTCCTGACAATACCTGTGACAAAGAGAAAAGTAGAGGAGACAGAGTTACAAACCAATACACAAAAAATGCTTTCAGAGCAGCAAAACCACAGACTGGCAAAGCAGGAATGGGTCTAATAAACCAATTTGCCTAACTCTTTGAATGAATATGGGCAAAGAAGAACATGGAGAGGATAAAGAACTATTTTAATACCTCTGAACACATCTGTAGTAGAGGCAGAACTGACTTGGTGAGCTGCACTTAGCACCTGTGCTTTTCTCATTATGCCAAAATATATATTTAAAGAAGAGCTTGAGATTTAGAAATAATAAGCAAAGTCTGTGGGAAAATCAAACATGTAGGTAAAACATATATCTTTATCCAGAGGGAAAATTAAAGAAATGTGGTGAAACCAACTCCTTTTTAACTTCAGGAACAGCAACAGATAGTAGGAAAAAAGTAAAACATGCTACTACTGCTAAAACTGCATGAAGAAATAATGTCTGGTTAACACTATATCCTGAATACCCAGTATGGTGGTTCAAACATGTAATCTGAGCTCACATGTAATATAGAAGCAGAAAAATCTGAAATTGAAGGCCACCCAAAATTTTGTGATACCTAATTAAAGGGGGGGTGACTTTAAATAAAACAAAAGCAAAAAGGAAACTAAGTAAGAATAAGGAAGTTGAGGAAAGAAAGCATAGCAGGGTGAATCTTAATACAGATATGAGGAAGGAATTTTATGAGTACATAGATTTTTGGATAAATACTGGAGAATCACTTATCTAGGGCTTAGTCACAGTACTTTGTACAGAGTGGGTGTTAGGAAAATAGATAACTCTTGAGTTCAATACAACAATAAGAAGAAAAGAGATGATACCATGGTCATATGAGACAAAGAAGGGAGTTTTGACATCTGACAACATCCATGGCTTTATTTATTTGTACCTAACCGGATCCGTTTTAGCAGAGTGGTTTCTTTCCAAATACTTGAGATAAAAGCTTTTATCAGCTAGAATTCTTAAGGACTTTGAGTCAGAGTATAAAAAGGAATGCAAAGGGTGAGTGACACATTCGCGTATCCTGTAATGAAAGAAAAATGAACTCAAACTGTCAAGAATATGAAAAGAAAGGAATGCCTTATGTAAGTTGCTGACCACTGGGCAAAATGATAGAATCATCTCACAAAAAGGAACTGGAAAGGGTATATAAAATTATGAAAGTGCTTCTATTGCTGAAACTGTTAGTCAAATATATTTTAATGAAATAGTATTAATGCAAAGTATAGGAGGATATAAAGAATGCCATGTGACTAGAAAGATTTGTTAGCTTCTGTCTCTTTCAAAAATTGTAAATACTCATTACAGAGGTTTGGCAACAAAGGTGGTTTTCTTTCTTTTTTTTATTACATTCTTTGAGAATTTCTTACAATGAATGTTGATCATATTCACAATCCTCCCCAAGTACCTCCCATATCCACTCCCTTCCCTACTCATAAACTATGTATTCTATTATGCATTTATTTGTTTATTAGTAACATTATTTTTGTGCACTTGATATTTAAGTACCATATCTACCTCACTTCAACCCCTCCCTCTCTCTTTCCAACACTTCCCATGCCATCTTCCAAATAACATGCTCTCTTCTCTATTGTTTTCATGTATATATGCAAATATACAAACATGTAAATGTAACCTATTGAGTCCATTTATATTTATTTGCATGTGCATGTGTTCAGGTCTAACCACTGAACACTTGGGATTGGACAAACCTCTATTGCTTCAGACATAGGACTTGGAAGAACCAAGTTGAAACTAACATGGATGCCTCATCCCTAAGGACTAGCTGTCATAACATAAAAAGTATTATGCAACCTGCCAAGGTAGAGTAGCAATCAGCATTGCAAACCAGCTGTAAAAGCAAAGAACCTCAGACTAGATATATCACGGATCCTACTGTAAAATCTACTGTAGGGAAACCTTTAGCCAGCCCCTAAGCAGGCTACTACTATTCTATTGAAAGAACGTAGCAGTCAGGTTGTGGTGACATGTGCCTTTAATCCCAGTACTAAAGAGACAGAGGCAGGCAGATCTCTGTTAATTAGAAGCCAGCCTGGTCTACAGAGTGAGTTCCAGCATATTAGAAGCAATTTCGTTTTGCATGTCAATCCCAGTTCCCTCTCATTCACCTCCTCCCCTGGCCCCCACTAGCCCCCTATCCCATTCGTTTTCTGCTTCTCAGGGACGGAGAGACCTTCCATGGGGGATCTTCAAAGTCTGTCAAATAATTTGGAGCAGGACCTAGGCCCTCCCCCTTGTGTAGGCTGAGAGAGTATCTATGTGGAATGGGCTCCCAAAGTAAATTAGTATATTAGGGATAAATATTGATCCACTCCTAGAGGCCCCATAGATTGCCCAGAACTCCTAACTGACACCCACATTCAGGGTGTCTGGGCCGGTACTATGCTGGTTTCCAAGCTATCAGTCTGGGGTCCATGAGCTCCCCTTTGTTCAGGTCAGCTGTCTCTGTGAGTTTCTCCAGCCTGGTCTTGACCCATTTGCTCATCACTCCTCCCTCTCTGCAACTGGGTTCCAGGGTTCAGCTCTGTGTTTAGCTTTGGGTGTCTTCTTCTGCTTCCATCAGCTACTGGATGAAGGCTCTAGGATGGCATGTATGCTAGTCATCAATCTCATTATCAGAGAAGGGCTTTTAAGGTAGCCTATAGACTATTGCTTAGATTGTTAGTTGGGGTCAATCTTGTAGATCTTTGGAAATTTCCCTAGTGCCAGATTTCTCTTTAAACCCATAATGGCTCCCTGTATTATGGTATCTCTTATCTTGCTCTCCTCTATTCTTTTCCTGACTCAAATTTCTTACTCCCACATGTCTTCCTCTTCTTCCCTTCTCCTTCTCCTAACTCCCTCTCCCCTCCAACCATGCTCTGAATTTGATCAGGAGATATTGTTCCTTTTCCCCTTCTCTGGGGAACCATGTATGTCTCTCTTAGGGTCCTTCTTGTTTCCTAGGTTCTCTGGTGCTATGGATTGTAGCCTGGTAATCCTTTGCTCCATGTCTAACATCCATATGTGAGTGAGAATGTACCATTTTTTTTGTGACTGGGTTGCCTCAATCAGGATAGTTTCTTCTTGTTCCATCAATTTGCCTGCCACGCTGATCCTCTTAGAAGAGAAAGTGGGAGATACCCTTGAATGAATTGGTACAGGAGACTGCTTCCTGAACATAACAGCAGTAGCACAGACACTGATAATGACAACTAATAAATGGGACCTCCTGAAACTGAGAAGCTTCTGTGTAAGGCAAAAGGCACAGTCAACAAGACAAAATGGCAGCCCACAGAAAAGGAAATGATATTCACTAACTCCACATCTGACAGAAGGCTAATTTCAAAATTATACAAAGAACACAAGAAGCTAGTCACCAAAACACCAAATAATCCAATTAAAAATTGGGGAACAGAAATAGAGAATTATCCATAGAGAAGTCTAAAATGGCTGAAAGACCCTTAAGAAAGTGCTCAATATCCTTAGCCATCAGGGAAATGCAAATCAAACAACTCTGAAATACCATCTTGCTCCTGTCAGAATGGCTAAAATCAAAACCAACAATGACAGTTTATGCTGGAAAGGATGTGGAGAAAAGGGAACACTCCACCACTGCTGATGGGAGTGCCAACTCATACAGCCACTTTGGAAATCAGTATGGCAGTTCCTCAGGAAAATGGGAATCAGTCTACCACAAGATCCAGGAATACCACTCTTAGGCATATACCTAAAAGATTTACATTCATACAACAGGGACATCTGTTCAACTGTGTTCATAGCAGCAGTATTTGTAATAGCCAGAACCTGGAAGCAACATAGATGCCCCTCAGCCGAAGAATGGATAAAGAAAGTGTGGTACATTTACACAATGGAGAACTACTCTCAGTGGAAAAAAACAATGGAATCTTGAAATTCGCAGGCAAATGGATGGAACTAGAAACCATAGTAGTTTTTCTTATGTTTTAAAAATGATAATCATGAAGAATATGTACATCTGTAATACAGTTATGATGTACTCATAAGATGTTATAGTATTTTTTAAATATTTCAAAGGTCTGGTTGTTTTTAAGGCAATAGTTTACTTAAGTATAAATTCTG